AAGGAATTTCTGAGAGGAAAACAAAACACAAATCCAGATGATTCACAGTGCTGGAGCACCAAGGGTATTCGTTGGTACCTGTGACCTACTGATCTCTGAACAGAAGGAACTTTTATCAAGACCAGGAAAGCCTGGAACCCAAAAGGTGCCCCTTCAGTAAAAGGACAAAGTTGACCAAAAAAACCTGCCTCAGAGAAAGAAACAAGAAACACTTGCCTGCTTGGTGCTGACTCAGGGGTTTTGGGGGAGAGGGTGTCTTGTGTTGGCACAAGGGAGGGTCTCCTGATAATTCAATCCACACACTGTTCCTCAAGCAGGTTTAGAACAATTTATGCTACCTCTACTGCTCCGAGAAAATCAGATGGGGATCTTAAAGCAATCTCCAACTGATGCAGGCCACAAGTATCTGGCAGAGGCCTGCACAGATTATCTGTACAAGAACACATCTTAACCCCAGTCCTCAAATAATTATCCCTGATAAACCTCTGAGGATTATCACAGTCAGGTATATGAGGGAACAAGCCATCGTAGTAAGAATCAGCAAAAATAATCAGATTTGCAGGGTCCTAGCGGAATTACTAAATGCAGATTATATTCAGAGAACTAAAACAGAGTAACTAAAATGGGACTAAGGGGCCGGGCACAGGGCTCACACCTGGAATCCCAGCACTTTGGGAGGCCACGGCAGATGGATAGCTTGAGGTAAGGAGTTCAAGACCAGCCTGGGAAATAGGAAACTCCATCTTTACCAAAAATAGAAAAATATTAGCCGGGTGTAGGGTCATGCTTGTAGTCTCAGCTACTCAGGAAGCTGAGGCATGAGAATCATTGAGACAGGGAGACGGGGGTTGAAGTGAGCCAGGATCAAGCCACTGCACTCCAGCCTCAGCAGCTAGAGCAAGCCAATGTCTCAAAATAAAATGGGACCAAGTATTTAAAAACTTGCACAGGCCGGGTGCAGTGGCTCATGCCTATAATCCCAGCACTTCGGGAGGCCGAGGCAGGCAGATCACCTGAGATAAGGAGTTTGAGACCAGCCTGACCAACATGGAGAAACCCCCATCTCTACCAAAAATACAAAACAATGAGCAAGGTGTGGTGGCACATGACTGTAATCCCAGCTACTCGGAGGCAGAGGTTGCGGTGAGCCGAGATCGCACCATTGCATTCCAGCCTGGGCGACAAAGCAAGACTGTCTCAAAAAAAACACTTGCATAAGGGACTGGGCAGGTTTGAATTAAAGAATAAAAACTTGTGTAAAACCATCCTATTTGAATGTTTCTCTGTGATTCTTTCTTTCATCCTGAATTGCTTTGGCCTTTCCCTGGAGCTCTTGCTCTTGGTGTTTCTGCTCCCTGAATGTGTTTGACTTCGTGAAGCCTCTTTCATAGGCGTCTTTTGGCCAAGCAACTCCCTGCCACTCTCTCTGCTCCCCAATAAGGACCGCTTGCCTGGAAGCATCATTTTCCGCCTGGCTTTTCTTGCTCTCTCGCCAGCATTCGGCCTTTCTCTCCAGCTTCCTGTCCCCACTCTGTACCCAGAGCATTTCCTTTGCATCCTTGTTTTAAATTGTTGCCCTAATTCGTTTTCCCAGTCAACCTCTGGGGTCCAAACTTGGGTGATGAAACAAAAATCACTAAAAACTAGAGTGGCTGCAGATTCCCCAGCCCTCCCAGTACTATCTCTACACCAGGATATTTGGTGAATTTGTTGGCAATTCATGAAATTCTTTTTTTCCTTTTTTTTTTTTTCTCTAAGACAGTCTCACTCTGTCCCCCAGGCTGGAGTGCAATGGGGCGATCTCCACTCACTGTAACCTCCACCTCCTGGGTTCAAATGATTCTTGTGCCTCAGCCTCCTGAGTAGCTGGGATTACAGGTGTGCCCCACCATACTCAGCTAATTTTTGTATTTTTTGTAAAGACAGGACTTCACCATGTTGGCCAGGCCGGTCTTGAACTTCTAAACTCAAGTGATCTGCCTGCCTCAGCCTCCCAAAGTGCTGGGATTACAGGCCTGAGCTACCTTGCCCAGCCAATTCACGAAATTCGGCTTTGACCAAAAGAGCTATTTTTACAAATAATCTTCATGAGATTACATCCTGAAATTTCCCGCCAAGCCTTTAATGTTTTGAACATTGAAAGTCTGGTGTTCAGTGGTCCTTTATAATTCAAATATCAAGTGCTCAATGTTTCACTGCTACCAGTCAGAAAGCTTGATAGTCACGTGAAAACAACATAAAGGCACACAGAAAAACATAGAAAAGCTATTTTCCTCCCTACACATGTATTAGGCACTATAGAAGTGAATTGGTCAGACTCACTTATCTCAGAAAAGAAAATTTCATCCAAAACACTGTTCTTGATAACACAATTGTCAAGAACATTAAGATTACCTCTCTAGAGTCCTCCCGAAATGGTTCTCTTGAACTCTAGCTGTTTCAACCTTCAACAACCGGATATTTTGCAAGCACTCAATTTCCTAGAATAATAGCACTTGCAATTTTTGTCTACATGAAAGACTCATTTGCCTTTAGATATTAATGGATTGCAGCAAAATGTCTAGAGGAGTTTCTCACACCTTTCATTCAGAAAAACCGTGGGGGCTCAAATAACAGACTGAGAAGTCAAGTTCCTTATTCACAAAATACCAAACTATTTATCTACATAGGAACTAGTTGGTATCATTTCAGGGCCAAAGCATATCACTTTTGTGTACTACTTAGTAGTTACTTTTATTTTCTAGCTTAGGTTGTTTGCCCTAGAAAAAAAATGACATGCAAATTATAGCATTCTGATCTGTATTATGAGCTTAAGAGCAAGCTCTTCAGTATGGGGGAAGAATCACTGCCAGGGGTTTGCCAAGGTGATGGAAACCATCTGAACTTGAGTTTTTGTGGAGTCTTTTCTAAGAGACTTGAATTCCAATTCTGGGTCTGTTACTTATCTGTGTGACCTTGGGCAAGTTTATCCATCCTTTTTATTGTAGAGAATTTCAGACATAAACAAAGTCAGTTATAGAGCAGAAACAGCAGTGCCTGGGGGCTGGGGCGAGAGGAGAATAATAAGTAACTGCTAATGGGGTAAGTGTCCAGGAATTGAAAGAGGATTGCTTTTTGGAGTGGTGGTTACACAACTCTGAATGTGCTAAAAACCACTGAGTTGTACACTTTTAAAAAGGTGAATTTTTCCCAGGAAAGATAATTTCTGACTTAGGGTTAAAAAAAGGTGAATTTCATGGTACCTGAATTATATCTTAATATAATAGTAATATATTAATGATTAGTAATATAATTTTTATCTTAATACCTCTGGATCTTCACCTTGAACCAAACGATGTTCATCTGTGGGGTCATTGTTCCCTCCCTTTAAACTGCTATCACCTGCATCAGGTCAATTACTTGCCCCTCGAAGTTCATTTCTAACAATGGTAACATTTAAAATTATGGATTAGCTGGGCGCAGTGGCTCACACCTGTAATCCCAGCACTATGTGAGGCGTAGGTGGGCAGATCACGAGGTCAGAGATCGAGACCATTCTGGCTAACACGGTGAAACCCTGTCTCTACTAAAAATACAAAAAAAAAAAAAAAAGAGAAAGAAAGAAAGAAAGAAGAAAGAAAGAAAGAAAGAAAGAAAGAAAGAAAGAAAGAAAGAAAAAGAAAGAAAGAAGAAAGAAAGAAAAAGAGAAAGAAGAAAGAAAGAAAGAAAGAAAGAAAGAAAGAAAGAAAGAAAGAAAGAAAGAAAGAAGGAAAGAAAGAAAGAGGAAGGAAGGAAGGAAGGAAGAAATTAACTGGATGTGGTGGCTGTAGTACCAGCTACTCAGGAGGCTGAAACAGGAGAATCACTTGAACCCAGGAGGCAGATGTTGCAGTGAGCCGAGATCACACCATTACAGTCCAGCCTGGGCAACAGAGGGAGACTCCATCTCAAAAAAATAAAATAAAAAATAAATAAAAATATGGATGGTCTCAGCCAGAAATGAGTCAGCTATTTCAATGGGTAAATATGTCCTGGTGCCCAGACTTGTGGGGACTACACATGGGGCAACCAGAAGACAAGATGCTGAGTGCTGTCTGTTGACCTTGTTTTGGAGGCATGGTAAAAGAAGAAAATTTTAAAATAAGAAAAAAGTGCTGTCTGACAAGAAGAGAGCAGTGAGCGGAGACAGAGCTGGCTGGGGATGGCACTTGAGCCTGGCTTGGAAGAATGGGTGCCATTTTGTTTAAATAAAAATGCAGGCCGGGGCCAGGTGGGGTGGCTCACACCTGTGTTTTGGGAGACTGACCTGGGCAGATCACTTGAGGTGAGGAGTTGCAGACCAACCTGGCCAACATGGTGAAATCTTGTCTCTACTGAAAATACAAAAATCAGCCGGGTATGGTGAGGGGCCACCTGTAGTCCCAGCTGCTTGGGAGGCTGAGGCAGGAGAATCACTTGAACCTGGGAGGTAGAGGTTGCAGTAAGCCAAGATTGTGTCATCACACTCCAGCCTGGGTGACAGAGAAAGATTCCATCTCAAAAAAAAAAGAATACATACTTATTTTGCACAGTATCTCCATGGTGTAGGTCCTCGCTAGAGATTGGATCTGAATTTAGGGAAAGTAAAAAGAGTTGGCAAGTGATGGTAAACTGCATGAGCTAGCGGGAGTTTCAAGTACAGCACACAGGTTGAGTCTTTGATTTCAGAAAGAGAATACATGTGTGGGGCTCGGCATAGCCCTTAGTGCAGAGCCAGCACATAGATGTTCATCATTAGGTACCTTGAGCAAAGACCAGGAGGTGAGCAGGGAGAATGTGCAACTGACAGCGGGAAGATTGGAGACTGTGTCCTTTAAGGCAGCCTGCTTGATGGCTTTTATCCTGGCTGTCATAAGGCAAGTTCTAGGGAGCAGGAAGGAAGAAATGCTGACCGCTATCAGATATTTGGCCTAGTGGCCTCTCATCAGGGAAATGAGCTTGGTCTGTTCAATGGGAGTTGTTCCACAGAGTTCAAAGGACAAGAATGCTATGTGTTCATACACGGAGCTCTTCAAAGTAGGAACTTCACCCTATAAAGCAGAAGAGCGGTGGTTTTCTTTTCTTCTTCTTCTTTTGTGGTTTCACATAGCAAATGAGTTAGTCTCTACTTATAGACAAAGTGAGACGTCAGGCACTGAGGCGTGAGTGTGGCTTATATTTCTGGTCCTCCCCTCCTTCACTGCTTTCATTTTACTCTTATCGCGTGTTCCAGAAAGTTTGCCCGCTGGGAGAATCTTTTTGACCACTTCCCATGAGTTGTCAGATAGCTCCATAGAATTCAGTTTCTGAGAACCAGCCAGAAGCATACAGTGACATTGCATAATCTGCCTCTGAAGCGGAGATATTAGCTGTAGAGCTCAGGGGAGCTGCTCCACATCACCGACATGAAGGGAACAGGCGTCGTGGACGCTGTGCCCAAGGTGAGTGTTGTGGGGCTGTTTGAATGGGCTTTGTCGGGAAGCAAGCTGCGATGAGGAAGAATGTTGACTGGCTTTAGTTGTGACTTTCTGATAAAGGTAAAGGCAGAATAACATTGACATGGGAGTTTGAGATGGGAAAGTTTAATATAAGTTTAAGTGTGGGAATAGATGTGCTGTAAAGCTCCTTACCAGTTTCCGTCCAAGATGGGTGATGATGACTTTGTAGTAGAAATCAACTTACTTGATTGACAGCACCATCTGTCACTTTGTGTCCAGCAAACTTCTGCAGCAAGATGTGAGTCTGCCTCAGCCCCTGTTAATTCTTTCTTTCTCTGGACCCCAAAGACACTCAGTGTCACTCTAACTGTCCTGATTGGTTTCTGCGCTCACCTCCAGATAGCAGAGCCTAGCCCCTTGCCTGCAGCCTCCCATGCTGAGCCCACAGTGGCCACTTACATGTTATTTTCATGTTAACTTGTATATTGTGTGAGCAAAGCTGGAGCTTTCAGACAGACTTCACATCTGTCATGAATCAAAAAAGATTCACTATTTAGAAAGGTAAAAGAAGCTGGGCACAGTGGCACATACCTGTACTCCCAGCTACTGGAGAGGCTGAGGTGAGAAGATTAATTGAGCCCAGAAGTTCGAGTCCAGCCTGGGCAACATAGCAAGACTTCATCTCAAAAAAAAGAAAAATTAAAATGGCTATCATATTAAAAAATTTACCCAGACATAAAGAAAATGAAGCTCAAGGTTGTATTTTCATCTGTCTGTGCCTTTTTAAATTTTAAGTAGAACAGGAAAAAAAAAAAGAAACAAGCACTAAATAGGGAGCTTGCTTATTTTTTAATAATAATACAAGTGACTAGTGTGGCTGGGCACGGTGGCTCACACCCATAATCCCAGCACTTTGGGAGGCCAAGGCAAATGGATCACTTGAGGCCAGGAATTTGAGACCAGCCCAGCCAACATGACAAAACCTTGTCTCTACCAAAAATACAACAGTTAGCTGGGCGCAGTGGCGTATGCCTATGATCCGAACTACTCGGGAGGGTGAGGCACAAGAATCACGTGAGCCTGGGAGGCAGAGGTTGCAGTCAGCTGAGATCACACCATTGCACTGCAGCCTGGGCAACAAAGCAAGACTCTGTCTCAAAAAAAAAAAAATTTTTTTTTAAAGTCGCTGGTGGAACTTATGGGTGAGTAATATATATATATATATAATCTGTACATATATATAAAATATATATACTGACAATAGTAACCAACCCTTACTATCTATATGCTAGACCCTGTGCTGAGTGCTCTACTTGCACTTTCTCATTGTTACATCTTCATAACATGCTCACGAATCAGAGATATTATTCTTAATCCCCTGTCACGGACAAGGAAGCGATGCCTCGCTGACTTGCCCAAGGCCATACAGCTGGTAGGTGGCAATGCCAGGAATCAACCCCAGACAGACTAAGCTCAGAGTCCCACTCTTACTCAGCTCATTATATTCTCTCCCTTGGACCAGGAGTTGTCAAACTCTTTTCATAAAGAGCCAGATAGTATTTTATGCTTTGCAGGCCAAATACAATCTCTGTTGCATATTGTTGTTTGTTTAGGCAGTCCTTAAGATAATACAATCATTCTTCACTTACGGGTCATCATCTAGACTGGTCCACAGGCCCTTATGTAGTAGCAGCCTATGTCATCTCAGTTCACGTACAGTACCCCCACCCAGCCACACAGTACCGAGAAACACTCAAGTCTTCAACTCCTAGTTCAGAGGCATCTTCGGTTCACAGTTTCTTGGGCGTCCCTACAGAAACTATCAATTCATCCATAAGATACATTTTTTAAGGTTTTACACAAATAGGAGCTGTAAGTAAAGAGCTGTTGAGCTTCTTGCCTTTAACAACTAACAATACGCACTGGTGTTCAGTTCATATTAGTGCAGTTGATCCATCTCATTAATCTTTTTTTTTTTTTTTTTTGAGACAAAGTCTTGCTGTGTCACCAGGCTGGAGTGCAGTCTCAGCTCACTGCAACCTCCACCTCCTGGGTTCAAGCAATTCAGGCATGCACCACCACACCCAGCTAAGTTTTGTATTTTTAGTAGAGACAGGGTTTCACCATGTTGGCCAGGATGGTCTAGATCTCTTGACCTTGTCATCTGCCCGCCTCAGCCTCCCAAAGTGCTGTGATCACAGGTGTGCACCACCGCGTCCAGCCTCCATCTCATCCTAATGCCTATCTTGTTGCTTAATTGCTTTATAAATGGTAGCACAATGCTTCAAGGGGTCATGTCATGTCAGTGGTCCTTAGCTTTGTTGCATTCACCTTTAAAATAACTCTGCCTTTCATTCAGGGCCACTGCAGATGGCCTTTCAGACCCTGAGGTTCACCTTTGTACATTGGATATAAACAGTGACTGGTCCTGCAAAGTGTTCCTAATTCTACCTGCTGGCCAGTAGCTTCGTTGCCAACAGAGCCGCTTTCACCTTTGTGCGTAGCAGATTTTGTATAATTACCAGACTGTTTTATTCTGTTTTTAAAAAATTGTTTTATGGAACAAGGGGAAATTTTTTAACCTAATGTTAGTGATAGGAAATGCTGGCCTCAAACAATGCAATTGCAACAAAAATAGAAATAATTGTGCATGGCAAAGACAGTAAATCTAACACCTCGTTCACTGATTTATTGGACTCCAGCCAGCTAGTCAGCTCCATTCAAGAAATACGAGAAATGTAGTTTTGGGGTTTTTTTTTTTTTTGAGATGGAGTTTTACTCTGTCGCCCAGGCTAAAGTGCAGTGGCACAGTGTCAGGTCACTGCAACCTCCACCTCCCAGGTTCAAACAATCCTCCCGCCTCAGCCTCCCAAATAGCTGGGATTACAGGCATGTGCCACCACTCTCAGCTAATTTTTGTATTTTTAGTAGAAATGGAGTTTCACCATGTTGGCCCAGGCTGGTCTGAAACTCCTGACCTCAAGTGATCTGTCCATCTCGGCCTCTCAAAGTGCTGGGATTACAGGCATGAGCCTCTGCACCTGGCCAGAAATTTAGTTCTAAAAGACAAGGCGGATAAGTGGGTTTATTATATGTAAGTTCTTATTTGGATTCTTGGTAGTTTCAAGATGCTTTAGTTATGAAAATAGAGTCTGCAATGTACTTTAGTGGTTCAGTCCTGTTTGCTGTAAATTCTGTTTACTTTCGTGTGTGTGTGTGCGTGCACTCAGGTAATATTGAAATTAGCATCTTCATACATAGCCTTTGTTTCCCCCAATAATATTATTTTCTCACTGGAGTGAATGTCCAGGAGTTGAAAGGGGATTACTGAAGGAAGTAAGCATTGGCACTTATTTTCCATTATTTTCTGAGAATTTTGATATTTGATTCTATTTTAAACCTACTTTCCACAGTATTTTCTCTGCAATCTGTACTTTATTTTATAAAGGCAGCTATGTGCTCATTCAGTTTTCCGAAGGGACAGTTTTCAAGCAAGCACCTTTATTATGTTACTGAAGAGTGGATGGTTCAATGTTTATGCTGTAAGTACATTTAAATGTGCTTGACTATCATTCACATGTTAAATTCGGCCTCCGTTAAAGAGCAAATCTTCTTTGTCTCTCTTCCATCTCAACTCTGAGTGGCATGGCTCTAGACCCACTCAAGAAAGATCAACGCAAAGACTTAGAATTTTTTTAAAACTCTCCCACATTCTCAAGGTTGGTTTAAACGCGATGGACTGTGGTGGCTTGGAAGTGTCTGCCACTTGCTGGGAGTTGGCTTGCTTCAGTGCTTGTGGGCAAGAAAGCTTGCTAAGGCTTCATTTGTTAGTGTAGAGCAGTTTTAGGTTCTCCTTGTACCTTTAGCAACTCTGAGGTGGTGAGCAGGGCATTTCAAACTCAGTCTTCTTTCAAGGGCAAATGGGATTGTGTGCAGACAGCTGACCTGGCCTTGAGGGCCCTTTGGATCCCACTCCCAGCAGCTCTTCTGCCTCAGTTCCCTCCCCTTCTCCCCTGCTGTTCTCCTCCTTGGATGCTCCTCTTTCTAGCAAGCATCACCTCACCCAGAGGCCTCTCTGGACCACACTGTGCAAATCACTTCCCCCACTACACCTGCCCACCCCCATCACTCTCATCTGTCTTACCTTCACTTATTAAGATCCCAACTTATCTCACTTTGTTAATTGTCTTCCTCTCTGGGAACGAAACTCCGTGAGGGACAGTCCTGGGCTTTCTTATTCGGTGCCACATCTCTGATGCCTACGGCAGTGCCTACCCAAAGTAGGTGCTCAATAAATGCTTTGTGGTAGTGTGTGTGAATGAATGGGAGGTTACAGGGAGTGCAGGTGGAGCCCTGGATATGCCCTGCTCTGAGGATAGGAACAGCACCACTTTCTAGTCATCAGGTGTTTGGCCACAGAGGTCATTCCTGACTCTCTAACCCCTACCTGGCTTCAGCCTAAGATGCAACTCAGCCTATTCTCTTGACAATTGGCCCCCTCCTTGTTCATGATCAGTTGCTGCCCTAGATGCAATCTGTTGCTATTGAAATCAAGGTCACAAAGACCTGTGGCCTCCCTCCGATGTTTTCCAGCGACTTCCTCCCTTCATCTATTCCACGAGGCAAAACAGCCCAGACACAATACCCAACTCGAAAACACAACTCACCATCCATGGCTCAGTCATTCACCCAACACGTAGTTATTGGGCTCTGGGGGTTCAGGGTGATCAAGACAGAGCTGACATTCCAGTGGAGTCAGCATGATGGGGAGTTAACGGACCCATGGTTTTAGGTGGTGAGAAACGCCAGAAAGTGGAGAAAACGGGGATCTGATGGAGGTGATGAATGGAAAAGGCCACTCTGAAGACTCTAGAGATGGGAAGAGCATTCCAGGTGGAGGGAACAGCAGATACCAAGGCCCTGTAGTGGGAATGCATTCAACAGAGTAGAGTGTCCATAAAAAGACCAGTGGGGTCAAGGCAGAGTAAACCAAGAGAGAGAAG